AATTGCTACTCTCAATTAAATCCATATAAAAAATGTCATAAAAACAAAAATATCCTTGACTCCTACCTTCCTCTAACATGCCGGAGGTGCTTTGCCTGTGGCCACCGAACTCCATGACCGCCGCCTCGGCTCACTGGCTCTGGCATGCGCTCCATTGCCACCAGCTTAGAGCAACCACAATGTATAAAAAAGATGACCTTAAGATAATGATTACACTTGTAAAGTAAGCTATATACATTGTGGAAAGTAGCATTAACTTAGGGTGCACCTTATGCTTAAGATCTACCACAAGCAAAAAGAAAATATTTTTTTTCTCTCTCATTCACTTCATGAACAAGAGATGAAACAATTATTTTTCCATTCTATGTGGGCCCATCTTGTGGCTAAATTCTAACCTTAGCATTGTGGGTATGGCTTTAACAATGGCTCACTATTCATAGGGCCACCTTAAGGTTACACTACACCACAAACATTGAGGATGCCCTTAACCCACCATCACTTAATTCCCTCCACCCGCCAAACCCTAGTTGTGCCGCCTAATCAAAGCCGCCGTCGTTGTACATCTATCGTCGTCCTGTGACCCTCTTGTCCTCGGCCCTCTTCAGCAGCCCGCAGGTCATGGTGGTCTGTCGTCGCGCCGATGCAGAAGGAGTGAGGAAGATAGAAGAGCTAGGCATGATGTACTCATCCGTGTCCCTCTTCGACGAGGTGCATTTCAAATTTTCAGTTCACTCATATGTCAAAGGGTATTCTAGCATGTAACTTTTTTTTTTTGTGAATATCAATGTTGAATAGTTCTACATTGATTGTGAAAGGGTAAATGATCTAAGATATAAGTTGGGGAACCCCTCACCTCAATGGCTGGCTTTTGGGGTGGGAAATGCCCTTTACGATCCTACAATTGATATCAGAGCCTGGCTAGTTTAACATCTCTAGCCTGATGGACCCAGGCTAGTTTAACATCTCTAGCCTGATGGACCCAGTGTGTGAAGGCCTGATGGACCATGGGTGCCTGTGGAGCCCATATACCTGATGGACCGTGGGCGGGGCCCGTATACGGTAAAGGGGCGATGAAGGGCTGAGGGACACATTGGCCCGATGAACACAGTGTGTGAAGGCCTGATGGACCGTGGGTGCCTGCGGGGCCCGTATACCTGATGAACCGTGGGTGGGGCCCGTATACGGTGAAGGTGCGGTGAAGGGCTGAGGGATTCCAATGTGTGAAGGAGGAGATTGTTGAATAGTCCTACATTGGTTGTGGAAGGGCAAATGACCTAATATATAAGTGGGGGAGCCCCTCACCTCATTGGCTCAATGTCTAGTTTTTGGGGTGAGAAATGCCCTTTACGATACTACAATCAATTTAACAAAGCCGAATTTTAGCGTGTACTACATAATATTTTTTGGGAATATCAATTTAACAAAATACTCCCTCCATTCCAAATTAATCTATATATTTCATAGGTACACCAAGACCAAGAAAAGCTAATAACTCTCTCTCATACTATATTTACTATAGCAACAAACTCAATGCATGCACCATCCCCACTATTTTCTAGCCAATAGCAAATCAAAATATTGCATGTGGGTTATAAATACATGTGTGCATGGATGCATGCATCAATGTCCATTTAGAGCAAGTTTAATAGTATAGCCAACTACTAGCTCCAATTCATCTATAGTCAATCTAATAGCTCATTCATACAATAGTTACATACTCCCTCCATCTACTTTTGATAGTCATATTTCATCTTGGCACACAGACCAAGGATAAGTAATTCTACTTATCATCCATTTAAACATGCTATTAGTTATTCATCGTAAACAAGCGATTCATTAATATTTACATTTCTCAATGCCCATGTAGCCAATCATGTGTGAAAGAATAGAGAGTCATGCATTAAATTCGAGAAAGTCATTAAGATGATAGGTTGTTGGATTGAAATATGCCTATCAAAAATAAAATTTTCAGATTTGGAAATATGACTATCAAAAGTAGATGGAGGGAGTACTACACTATTAATACCTGGTCCCACCTGTCATAAACACGCTGCGTCTTGGAGTCCGTACTATAGCTGGCTATTAATCTGTAGCCCGCTGCCCATCTCTCTCCTTATTTATCTCCTTAAAATATATTTGCATTTGGCTTATAGCCTGCTATTGTCCCTGCTCTTACTCCAATACACAAATAACGAATAGACCTAATAAATGAATATAAATATGTAGATCATTTAGAAATAACCTTAAAAAAACTATATGTAGATTAATTTGGAATGGAGGGAGTACTATTTGGCATACTACAAGATAGTATTCTCACAAGTCAGAAGTCAGAAAACCCCTGTTGAATGATGGCAAACTAGCAATTTTCTCCTCGATGAAAGCCATCGGTAGTGGCCCGTGCTAGCTACACGGAGGAATTAAACTCGGCCTCGTTCCCCGAGGTCAAGGCGTCACGCACGTACTCAGCCGCGGCCGTCCATTCCAGCTCCTGCCGCGCATCGATCTCCGTCCAGCCCCCCAAGTGTAGTGTCAACCCCGCCCCTGCTGCTGCCTTGCGCCCAGCGTACTCCTTCCGTTTCGGTCCGTGTGCTGCAGCAGCACAGCCTACCCGTAGGTTGTACATCTAGCCCTGCTGCCCCTGTTACGCACCGGATCCTCCTCCTCTAGGCTGTGTTTAGATCCAGTTTGGATCCAAACTTCTGTAGTTTTTCATCACATCAACCTGTCATACACACACAAATTTTCAGTCACATCATCTCTAATTTCAACCAAAATCCAAACTTTGCGTGAACTAAACACAGCCCTAGTAGTGGTGTGTTTAAAGATCCTCGGGTAAAGTTTACATTAGGCCGTGTTTAGTTTTAAAGTTTTTCTTCAAACTTTTAACTTTTTCATCGTATCAAAACTTTCCTACATAGTAGTAAACTTTCAACTTTTCCGAGTTTAGCTTATGCCGTGTTTAGTTTTAAAGTTTTTCTTCAAATTTCCAACTTTTCCATCACATCAAAACTTTTCTACACATATAGTAGTAAACTTTTAACTTTTCCGTCACATCGTTTCAATTTCAACCAAACTTCCAATTTTGGCGTGAACTAAACACAGCCTTACCGCATCGGATATTATATAGAGTACCTTATGGTGTATTCAGCACTAACAAAAAAACCTATTCATTAAACAACGAGATAAATTTATTAAGCCTAATTAATCCGTTATTAGTATATGTTTACTGTAGCACCACATTGTCAAAGATTTGTATCGCAAAGTAGTCGTAATCTGTGCAATTAGTTATTTCTTTAGCCTATATTTAATACTTCATGCATACATATGTTCAAACGTTCGATGTGATGGAGTGTAAAATTTTGGGGTGTACTGGCCTAGTCTCAGCATGCACATACACACAAGTCATCCGGGAGAAGAAAAAAAAAGACACAAGGCAGCAAGAGAGATCAGAGATGTGCAAGTCGCATGTAGTTGTATACTACTAGTACTAGACTGTCACTGTAGAGATGGAGATCGAGGAGCTCAACCAGTAGAGGGATGGCCGTTGTCACTGTTCACCACATTCCGGAACGGGACTCCCGCGACATGCCACTCCGGCGAGATCGCTACCCTGCGCCCACAATTCGGGGCTTTCATTCTTCCTAGGCCGTCCGATCCGATCGTGCCTACTCTCTCCCTCTCCTCTGTTGACCGCCCACTCGCTGTCACCCGGCCCCCCCCCCCCCCCCCCCCGTTTTCCGTTGAGGAGTGCACCATTCTAGTACTGCCACTACTGTACACATCACTGTTACTACCTCCTCGCTCCAAAGTGGTAGTGTTCCCGGTGTTCAATGGCGTTCACATGCTTCAATGCGCCGGCTGATTTGGCAAGTTCACGAACGCCTTCATCCGCATTCACTACCTCTGCCCAGGGCCCCCCCATCACACGAATGAAATTTCGCTCTCCTTGGATTGGATTTTGCATCGATCCTTCCTGCATTCCTTCCTTCGCCTGGCCATCTCCTTCAATTCAATTCAATTCATATGCCAGTGTCTGAACTCACATCTCAATTCTCACACCATTCTTCTACACAGAGCTAGTTGGAGCTTGGAGGAAGAGGAACCCCGTAACAGTAAATGCCAGTACACGTGTAAACCCAACGCCAGGGCCCCTACACCAACCACCAACAATCCTAGTAGCAGCAGCATCATGAACCATCCCTACAATACGAGGCTACTGCTGCTACTACTACTCCGCCCTTCACATCCCAAGAAAAGAGGGCACCGGCATCACATCGCATCACATAAACACTCCCTTCTCCAATTAATGCCACACGCAGGCAAAGGCACAAAGCCCCATCGCGTCGCGTCCATCGCATATCTGTCAACAACACAGACTTCATGCAGAGGACCACGGTCTTTTGCACAAAACACCACCCCCACCCCTACCTTTGCCTCCGCCGTATACATGCACGCCACCACCAGATTGCCAGCATCAGCATCGCAGCGGCATGATTCACCCATCAACCACACACGACACGAGCCACACGGTGTGGGGAGGCAGCAATGGTTGCCATTGCCCTTTTGCCAAGATGGCATTCCGTTCCACATGACATGGAACTGGGACCTCCTCCTCACTGCCTCACAGGGCTCAGCACAGGGGCCAAACCACATGCAAAAGCTTGAGCCAAAAGGAGAAAGCAAGCAAGCATGCATGCTTTGTTGCTGCAACGAACAGTGTAGCAAACCTGCAATCGTAGCAGAAGCAACAAGACGAAGGGCGAAGGTTGAAGGACATGTCTACAGTTGTTAACTTGACCCGGGCCTGAGACGAGCCAGAGGGGGGGAGAGAAAGAGAAGATTCCATTTTAGCCTCAAAAGTGCAATTAATTCCACTTCCGACGAGCTGTCACCCATGCATGCACCGATTGTACTTACACGTGACCTGATTCATTCCCGGTTTTGCTACAACCAACCACCACCTCAAAGCACAGTACCACGAGAGGGAAGCACAACCAAAGAGTGACAAAAATAAACTTGTTCCATCCGCGCCAAAACCACCCGAGAGATTTGAGTAAAACAGGGTTAATTACACTTTGGTCTGCCTGACAGGCAACTTAACAACAACATTAAGCTGCATGCAAGAAGCAGGAACTACTGCTAACGCTATACTGCAGGTCTAGTAGTAGTATAATGAGGGTTTCATACATGTTGGGAGGAGTACGCACTGCGTGAGGCGTAGCAAATGGTGAGCTGTTGTTCTGTGAGTGATACTGACATGGGGTCAAAAAAAAAGAAAAGAACAAAAAAACTAGTAAGGCAAGAGATGTCACTAGTACTACTGTTTCTCTTTCGTTTCTTTTGTTTTGTCTACTTTTTCCTTGCGGCGATTGACGGCGGCTATGGGGCGGCGGGGTCGACGACGCAGGTTGCGACGGAGACGGAGAGCTTGTAGGGGAAGGAGTTGGTGTACTCGAAGGAGACGGTCTCGCCGGCGAGGAGCGGGCGGCCGTCGTTGAGGAGGCAGTCGTCGTGGCCGAGCCGGCGGAACACGCGCGGGTCCACCAGGCTCACCGAGCTGAACCACCCGCACCGCACGTGGATCCCCGCGATGGCGCACTCCTCGTCGCCGCCGCCGCCGCCGGCGCACCGGTTCATCACGTCCACCGTGTACGCCGGCACCCCGCTCGGCAGCGGCGTCGCCCTCCCCTGGTAGATCGCGATGTCGTCCGCCCCCGCGCACCCGTCGTCCACCCGGCGCGTCCGTACTCCGTCTCCTCCTCCTCCGCCGCCGCTGCCGGAGACGAAACCGACGCCGACGACGTCCGCGCCTGCAAAAAGGGTGAAAGCAAGCGGGCCCCACCGGTCAGTCACTGCATGCATGCGGCGACGAAAAACTGAGAGCACCGCAGACACGGGCCCACATGTCATGCTCCGATACGACAGAATGGAATGTGAGGGCGACGGAATCATGGCGCGCCAAAGGGATCGTCTCGTCTCCGAGGACAAAACAGGAGGCGTCTCCGTGGACCCCACATATCAGGCTCCCCCCCCTCTGGCCCCCACGGCCTGCGTCAGAGGCTTGTCGGAGAAAGCGCCGGCCGCGTGGGCCAAGCAGCAGCCGTCCGATCGGTCAATCGGACGGCGAGATAAGCATCGCCGAGGGAATCGGGGATAGGAAGCTTGCTTTTACCTTGCGGGCGGAGGAGCTTGCGGGGGGAGAGGACGGCGGGAGGCGTCGCCGGGGCCGGAGAAACCGCCGCGGGAACCGGGGCGGCGAGCGGCGGCGGCGGCATCAACGGCGAGAGACCTGCACAAAAAAACGCCCGCACGATTAGACCCCCGCCACACGGCGACAGACACGTGGGACCAACCCGGAGTGGGCCCCACCCCGTCAGCGACACACAAAAGCCCAAAAACTTCACCCCACGCGACAAATCCACGACGCGGCGGCGGCAGTAGCACACAGTGGGAGAACAGCGATACGAACAGAGCGAAATCAACCAACCAACCAAAAAAAAAACATTTCGAATCCATGGGAATGGATGGATGGGTGGGGGTGGGTGGGTTGGTGGTGGGCCCACCGCGCTGCGCCTCTCCTTGTTCGTATCCCAATCTTGGAAAGGAAGGCGCAGGTCGACGTGGAGGCATGAACACGATGAACAGTAGCAGTACAATGCAAATTCCAGAAACCGCACGGATGGAGGGAGAGAGAGAGAGATCTCGTCCGTAATTATTAATGATGCTCCTAGTGATGCAAAACTAATGGTGCAAATCCATTGCACCCGTGCGGTATTTCGAGAATTTTATTCATACAAAAATTTTTAGGGAGAATGATCTCATCGAAACGGAGCCAAAACGCAGAGAGATTTGACGAGGAAAGGAGTGCGATTTTTTTTTCAGAAATATATGTGCAGACAAAAAAAACTGGCGAATCATGTGTGGGAGAATCAAGCAGCAGCGCACAGGATGAAGCGGGGTGGTTTTGGAATGGTGCGTCACCTGTGTCGTCGTTGGAGGATGCGGCGGCGGCGAGGGCGACGTCGGAGCGGAGCATGGCGAGCAGCACCACCGCCCACGCCGCGGCCGCGAACGCCGGCGGCGGCGGCGTACTGGACGCCGAGGAGACCCTCATCGCGCGGAAACCCGTGCGCACGAACGCCTGAAACAAAAAACTCCGGGGGGTCACGAGACAGATCTGCCACCTCCATGGCTCCATCTGCAACGAAAATACTACACAGAAAAGGATGCGACGAACTAGAGCATCGGCGGAGAAACCAAAAAGGCCCGCAGAAAGCTTGCGAGAGAGAGGACACGCAGCGGCGCCGCCTCGGGCCACGCGCCCCCTTCCCCCGCTCCTCCGCCTCCGCCCAAACCGACGCGGACACCATCCCTCCCACCCACCGGAGCACGCGTCTCCGGGAGGGAGACGAGACCACACTCGCACACCTCGGAACCCTCGCCCGCGTAGGCTCGAGAAGGAGAAAGAGGAGGAGGAGGTCGGCGCCTACCTTCTGGTGGATGACGAGGCGGAGGCGGCGACGGAGGCCGGCGACGAGTGGCCGGCGAGGACGCGGAGGAGGAGGAGGAGTAGTAGTAGGGTTTGGGCGCGGCGTCGCTATCCCCCTCTCCCCTCTCGCACGTGCGCGCGCGCGGCGGAAGCGGGCGGCGAAACGAAACGAAAAGAGGCGGTGTGAATGGACCCAGAGGCCTACATAGGCGGCGCGGCCGGAGCGGATCGGGAGGAGGCGTGGCGTCGCGTGTTGTGGTCGAGTCGAACCGGGCCGGCGCGGTGGAGAGAGAGAGGGAGAGGGAGGAGGGGACCGACCCGACAGGGACCAGAAGGAAGTGATCCGGTCTGGCCCGGTTCTGGTCAAGGCTGCTGCACACAGCCTGCACAGGGAGGGAGGGAGAGAGAGGCTGGGTACCGGTACATGGCACTGTGTAGTGTGGATTGGCCTTTGGAAAGTTTGGGGATTTTTGGGCAAACTTTTTGTTGGTTTGAATTCTGGGTTTCTTTTTTGGGGGATTGGGTTTTTGGTGGCCTTCTCTGCCTCCTCCTCCTTTCTTCCTCTTGTGCTTTTGGAAGCAGAGAGAATGTTGAATCGGTAGAGGAGCGCAGCCATCTCTGGGAGGAAACAAAATAGAAGGAATATTATGTTAGAGTGCTCGTTGGAGGTTAATTTACCACCCTCATGCTTCACTTGTCACACCAAATTCAGTAAATCAACAGTCCGACCTGTAGTATGATAAGTGAAATATTACGCAGTTGAGATGTAGGCTGTGTTTAATTCACGTCAAAATTGGAAGTTTGGTTGAAATTGGAACGATGTGACGGAAAAGTTGGAAGTTTGTGTGTGTAGGATAGTTTTGATGTGATGAAAAAGTTGAAAATTTGAAGAAAAACTTTGGATCTAAACACGGCCGTAGTAAAGGGTGCATTTATGGGTGCACGCGTGTGAAGAAAGAGACTCCGGTAGCGACAAATATCATGCTAATCTTGTAGCTGATGATTACCGCGCACAGTTGGCCTCGTTTGTTGCTTTTGTTCCATTCGTGTGTCTTCATTCCTCCCATCATGTACCACTAACACTAACGATTGCATACGTGGGGCTTTTTAGAACACAAACAAAAAAAATGTTGGAGTGCCTTTTGGAAGCTTAATACTAACATTGCTAACTTGTAATGCTAGCCACCTATTAAGCAAATCAAAAGTTTGAGGCTGGACTATATCGTAAAGATAAAAATCACATGGAAATGCGATAAAACCATGCATTCATGGGTGCATGCATGTGAAGAAAAGGAATTAGGAAGTGACAAATATCGAGTTTATGACTATGGTTGAACTGTTGTATCCTTGCACCACCTGTTGTACCCTCATTTGTTAAATGCTTGGCATGCATCATCATAGGAAACCTTGTCCATGATTATGGATTAAATGGTTCCAGACTTATGGAACAACACACGATTCATAAGTACGACACAAATTTTTAGATTAATTTGGTTGACGATCCTAACCAATAAGATCGATTATGGGATTACACCATTCATTTTTGTTCTTAGTTTCTTGAATTAGGTTAAGTCTAATTTACCACACGACTATTGTGAAAAATATGATTTACCCTCCTAACTATAATTTCAGACATTTGACACCCTCAATCTATTTAATCTAGACGAATTACCAAGCACGCAAACAAATAGTTATATAACATGTGAAAAACAAACGATCATATCTACAATCACTGTCTAAAAAACCAGCGTGATATTTATCACTTTTAGGTTCCTTTTCTCTATATACATGCACTCACGAATGCACACTTTGTCATATTTCCATGTAATATTGACCTTCTACACTACAGGTCAGCCTCTACCTTGATTTGCCAAGAGGTTGCTAGAGTGACGTTAGCAATGAGCGATAAACCTCCAACCATAACTTCAACATTTTTCTACAATCTTCAAACAAATAAGGTAATACGGATGTGATCGTTGGCGGTACGTACACGATCGGTACAGTGAAGACACGTGGGCATATTTGAGAGGCGGTGACTAGTGACTTGGTTGTTTTGGATGTCGATCCAACGGTTTAGGGCCTGATGGCCTGTTCCGCTTTAGTGTTAAAATGAACCATTTTAAAATTTGGTAATACTAAAATTTTAATAAATTAGCAGTATTACGAAGTAGTAAATGTGTTACTGTCAAAATTTCTTAGTAGTAGTAATACTACAATTTTCTTCCTGCATTCCACCCAAAGCATAGACAAATCTTGGGCAGAAATTCAGCGAGTGATTGTGTGTGTGTTTGTTTACAAGGAGGAGCAGTGTCTGACGTTAATTAGAAGCCATCATGGTGCCGGCCTTCGCTGCCCCTGCCCCTGCCCACGTGGAGGAACGGTTCGGGCCAAAGCGTGCATGCAACCTGAACCAAAGCTTGCCAAAAATGTGGCAACGAGAGAATCCTCTCCCACGAACGGGTGCGTCGCTGGAGACACACCGTCAATAATAGTAGCAGCGTGTTTCATCGGATTTTGCTTAAACTCTGTGGGGATTGTCTTGATCAGTTGGTTGGTTAGTTCAACCAAGTTTTATTTTAGAGGGGCAAAATCAGTTGGTTTCTCTTTGTGAGTTTGAAGACGTGTGAATTAATTTGGTCTGCACGTGCTGAGATGTTCAGGGTGCCTGCCATTTGGTCTGCCTCTTGCTAGCTCCGAGTGATTGGATTTTGCACGATGTTGGGAAGGTGAGGGTGGATTTGAAGTAGTGCAGCCATTTTCACGAGGAATATGTGGGAGTGCTTTTTTGGAGGTTAATTCAGTAAATCAAGACTCAGACCTATACTCCTATAGTAACATATGGAAGATGGGACAAAGCGTGCATTTATTACTGTATACATGTGAAGAAAAGAAATCCAGTAGCGACAAATATCATGCTGATCTTACCGCACTATAAAAAACAATTTTTCTGTACGAGACCCTCGTTAGGTTACAACGGACCATAACTGACTACGTCTGCAAAAATCGACCACCATTTTCGCATATGGTTTCTTAAGATAACATAAGCACCCGCACACAAAAATAGTGTCTTTTGCAGACTTTTGGCGCGTGCGGTAGGACTAACCGCACGCGGAAACCTGTTTCTGACCGCGTGGAAAAATGTCTATTGTAATAGTGTCGTTGGTGACTACCGCGCACGGTTGGTCTTGTTTGTTGCGTTTATTCCATTCGTATCTCTTCATTCCTCTCACCATGCACCACTAACAATCGCACCTGTACATAGAATAAAAAGAAATGTTGGAGTGTCTTATGGAGGCTTAACACTAAAATTACTAACTTGTCACGTTAGCCACCTGTCAAGAAAAATCAAAAGTAAAGGCTGGACCACTGGTGGAGAAACCCTTTGTAGTCCCGGTTCGTAACCCTCTTTAGTCCCGGTTTCCAAACCGGGAGTACCAATCCGGGACTAAAGATCGCTATCTTTAGTCCCGGGTGAAATAACCGGGAGTAAAGATCGATCTTTAGTCCCGGTTGGTAACACCAACCGGACTAAAGATCGAGCTGACCTTTTTTTTTTTTTTGCATGCCCCTGTTGCTGCATGGTTTATATATATATATATATATATATATATATATATATATATATATATATATATATATATATATATATATAAACCATGGCATATATATGTTTCAATACATATATATGCATACATATATATATATGTATATATATATATATTATATTATATTATATGTATATACATGCATAATATATATGTATTTATACATATATATGTTATGCAAATGCATATGTATATAGATATATATATGAACAAAATATATTTACATTATAGAAAATGTGTACACATGCATATAGAAACATATGTAGTCATGTATTAATTACAATCCATTATATGTCCTAGCTAGCTACGATTTCGACGTAGTAGTACTCGCTGCTAGCTCAGAAGCTAAGGACCGGTGAATTGTGTTTCCGTCGTAGTAGAATTCACCCTTGGGATCAAGGATTTCTTCGTTGATGAATCCCATGAGTTGTTCTTGAAACGCCGCGATAAATTCCTTGTGTGTGGTCAGGTTATCCCTCATGCGAATAAACTATATGAATGTATGAAATTGATTAGTAATTAAACAAGAAATCGCTACGTAATGAAATTTTGAATTTATTTGTACGTACATCGAGCTCTCTTGTGGTGATGATTTGGTCTGCAAGGCAGTGGCAATACTCGCACACGTAATAGCCGCACAAGTTAGTTCCCTGCTTTTGCTTTGCGCACTACAAATAAATGACAAACAACGAGAGATCTAATTAATATACACTTGTATGTATTTGAATCGGAGAAATATAAATGTAGAGCATGTGTACTCACAGGAAATTTGAACTTCCGCCTAAGTCTTTCTCTCCATTTGCCGCGGACCAAATGACGGAACCGATACCAAGCCCTACATGGAGTTTAAAGCTATGATTCGTAGTAGCAATTAACATAACAAGATTTTCTTAATTAACAAAGGAACTTATGACGGTACCTGTCTATAAGTTCGAAAACCTTGTCAAACGTAGACTCTTTTTTATCCATTGAGTCATATACGTTGACGGTGCAGGCCTCCAGGTCGATGAGTAAAAGCACCCAGTGGAATCTGCAATGTGCGTGGGATGCATTACATATGAAACACTTAGCAAGTTCGTACGGGAATGAAATTTGGTATGTAGGAAGACAGTAAAATTAAACTAACTCTGTGTTGTATGGCAACAGTATGAACGTCTTGTAATGCTGCGCCTTCAGGAGATGGACGAGATTGTCCTCTGTTTCTTGTGGATATTGGTCGAGCATTGCGACGTTTACTTTCCGAGGGTCGATGAATCCAGTATCGAAAACCCTCCGCCGTCGGGCCCTTTGAATCTCCATTCTACAACGATAAATGGGAGTATATTATTTTCTATGGTCTACTTATATACAAGGACCTAATTAATTAAAGGAGACGTATAGTAAGAAATCTAACTGAACGATATACTTACAAAATCCAGCAACTCATAATAGAGACGTCGAGGGCGTCCAGCTGGTATAGTTCGTAGATTCCCCTGAAATTGATCCAGAGAATGTCATCTCCTTGCAAGAAGTCCGTGTCCCTGATCCTCGCTCCGATCATCTCTCTACCGGTGGCGCTCATCTCCATGTACAGCTGATGGAACTTGTACATTTGTGTGGGTAGGGACTGCAGCAGCTCAGGCTTGACAAGCGGTTTACCGAGTTCGTACATGTATTTCACTTCCACCTTTTCGATTGGTGCGACTCTTAGCAATTGATCCGTAGTTAGACCGGTGT